AAATATTTTAATCCTTAAAACCCTTAATATTAAATTCTAAAACAATATAGTTAACTCAAATATAAATGATATAAGGAATACAACAAAATTATATTCTACAATTCTTAAACATTCTGCAGAATACATTCACCATTTAGACCCTATATGCTGGATCGTTTCGTTTGTATCAGGACACGTGTTCTTCTACAATAGTCTCCAACTGTGGCTTCTTGGATTTGGAAACAGAGATCCGATGAATAAACTCCGACGCCGAGAAATCTTCTATTTCTTCAAGATTCAGCTCCGCACTTCCCGACATCACCCTGACGTCATTTTCCTCTTCCTCCGGAGACACTCTCCTATTGTCAACGCTTTTCGAGCGTTTCTTTCCGGTAAGGTAAAGCCGAGCCATGTCGGATGCGTTGGCCGCGGAAGCGACACGTGTCATCGGGAAGGCGACGTACACGTGGCAGCCTGTTAGGTCGAGATTCTCGTCCGCGGCGAGTGGGGTGAATTTCCGACCGATTTTCAACGATTTAGCGTCGACGAGAAAATGACTTGGCATCTCCATCATGAGCTCGGCTGCTTTCATCGGCGCGTGGATGTCACGTACTCCACCTTCCGGGAGAATCACTTTGGCTCCATGTGACGGTGAATCGGACGATGTCGTTTTGCTTAGAGCGCATGAAACGTAGTTGCCCATTTGTTGATATCAAAAGGTTTCACGAGTGAAAGATGAAAATTTGATTTTTTTTAGAGGATCGAAGAAGACAAACGGGAAGCTTGTATGTATAAATACAAGGGAAATCTTGATACATTATTAATAACGCGAGTAATAATTTATACATTATAATCGTATAAAATATGGTGAACATGGACAGCTTTACAAATGGAGGTTGACATTAGATTGTTGAATCCGCGTCTTTATTACTTTATCTATTTTAATATATTTTAGCCGTATTTTTCAGAAGTCTAAGGCCACGTCCTTATTTTCTCACTTAACTCCGCGTAAAAAGGTAATGATATAAAATGATGATGAAGATTACTCGGTTTTGTTGATGGTTCAGCCACGGTTAATTACAAATGTATTTGGTATCTGCAGAACTTTGCAATATTTGAATATACTTTTGTTTCGTTAATACAAAGGTGTTCTAATAAAATAAAAAAATTTTGAATGATAATAGTCAAAACTCTTAAATAGAAGAAAATTATCTATAATGCCTACAAGTCAATGTATTTTCTTTTCTTTTTTTGTTAAAGTACAAGTCAATGTAGCTAGCATTTTTCTACATTTTGAAGAGACGGTGACAATATAACAAATATATCTATCAGCAGAAAATTAGGGGCTCAAAGTGTGGAAGGAAGGACACAAATCATATTGTACAGATTAACTTAAAAAACAAGTTATTATATTGTTGACTTCCAGTTGTTATCTCAAAATTTTAATCATACGACATGATCATATACGTATATGTTTCTTAATTTTTAAAAAATCAAGTTAATGTAAGCTAAACATACGCATGGGACCCACGCACACTTACGTGTACACCTGTACTTTCGGTTTGATCTATTGAGAGTCTTTGACCTCAATGACGCAACGGTTCCCTAATCCATGGGACTATGGGAATGTTGCTTGCTTCAAAGGCCTAACCTTTTCTTTTCCACTAATTAACATGATTATTTTTGAAATGATCGTCAAATTCAAATCTGACATTGTAAACGGAATATTTGTGTTTCCCCAACTCTAATACATAGACAATCGTAATATTAATTTGGTTTAGTAGTAATCTTTACAAAATCATATTTGAAGACTTACATATCCTATAAACCCGTAGTAAGATCGATTTCGGATTCTCTATAGTTTTAAACATTTTTTTCCGTATAAATATGAAGCTATTGTTTTCTCTTTTCTGTAAACACATTCCTCACTTGTAACTAATTAAACTCCGCCTGAATGATTAAAGTAATTACCCCTAGTTCAAATTAAACGAATCAACCTAGCTATAATCATAACAAATTTTTTTTTGTTTTCAAAATTTATCTTAGTGTAACAAGAAGATCTTCCTTTATATTTTGTGCAACCAACAAGAAGATCTTCCTCTCTATAAGATATTGTATTCACTTTCTCTCTTATAAATACAGAACCCTAATAACCTTATAAAGGCCTCATCAAGATTCAAGATATATATCACTCTGATCATTTGTAAGCTAATTAGCAATATTTTGTTTCTTGCTCATCATGAAATTATTTTCTCTCATCCTCGTTCTAGTTCTCCTTTCGTCATCTTTTGAGCCTCAAACCGCAACCGCGTTCTCCTT